AGGGAGAGGAGCAAACGGGGGGTGGGGGCGGGGAGAAGGGTGCAACAATGAATGAACGGAATTCCAAAATCTCTGTAGATGTTCATTGAAATGAAAAATAAATTAAAGCATATATAAAAAAATAAAAAGTCAAGCCACACACACACAAAAAAAGACTAGTTATTAGGTGCCATCAAGTCGAGTGTGACGCATAGCTGCCTTATGAACAACAGATTTGAAGCCTGTCATGTCCTATGCCTCACAATTTGGTGTGAAGCTTATTTTGTCAGTTTGTTATATTTAGGGAGATCATTCGTTGCATATAGGGAGAACAGTGTTCTAATTTGTACAGGACTTATCTGTCAGTTTGCTATACAGAGATAATTTGTGGATTCCTGTGATACTGAAAAGCTATGCCACCAGTACATCAAATGCCACAAGGGTTACCCATGGTGGCCAGCTTTTAGTAAAACTCTCAGATTAAGTCAGACTAGGAAGCAGAACTGGCCATTCATTTCTTAAACAATTGTCCTCTGAAAACCCTATGAACAGCAGAGGAACTCTGATAGGTTTAGTTTTACAAAGACTACAGAAGAGCATTTCAGGAGAAAATGAACTTAAGTTATTTTAGCAACGGTAAAAACACAGGGAATGGCCGTTGTTGTCAGGTGCCATCGAATCAATACTTGACTCATAGCAAAATCATATCAATTTAAACTGCCTCCCATGGTTTTCTGTATTTATCTTTACAGAAGTAACTTATCAGGTCTTTTCTCCCAGAGAACAGCTAGATGGGTTTGATCTACGAATTTTTTGGTTTGCAATCAAGCACTTAGCCACTGCATCATCAGGGAATGGATATGGTATAAAATTTGATGCAAATATAACACATACAAAATTGTTTTCACAGCAAGAAAGTTCTCAAGGCTGTGTAAGTACACTCATTGGGCAAGATGGGTAGGAATGGGAACACTTACATGAAATACTACATGGAAGTTTAAAGAAACTTCCATCACTAACCAGCCCTATTAAAATTACCTTTCGTTTCTCATCATCTGGATATGTCCAATAAGAGATACAGTTTCCAGAAAGAACACACCATCGTCGGTGCCAGGCACCAAAGCCACTGACATCTTCAAATATCGTCTGGAAAAGGAAATGAAATACTGGCTTTAGAAACTTGGAAGATATGTCTTAATAATAAAATGTTAGGAGAAAGCTAAGATTACAGAAAGGAGCTCTTGTTTCAAAGAGACAAAAAACAACATCTACACCAACAACTAAGAAAATTTTTTTAAACAGAATGCTAAATTGACATGTTTCACAGCTTAAAAATCTAAGTGTATGATTTTTATCATGTCTTTTACCATACTATTATTAGGGTAGCTTTGTGCCAGAAAGTCAGAACCAACTCAAAGCTGACCTTTCAAGCAGATTATCAGAGGCTCTAAATCTTTCTCCCAGGAGCAGTTGGTAGACTTGAACCAGAGCATTTGGGTTGGTACTGCAACTAGGCAACCAGAGCTTGCTGTCTTTTACCAGAGGAAAGAGAAGTCATTATCTCAGATTTAAACATCATCTCTGAACCTTTAAGAACTTTCCCAATAACTAAACTCAAATAGAAATTCATCTAATTTTCAACTGAAAAAAAAAAATCCTAATTAAATGTCCCTAAAGGTGCTCCTCAGGAAAAGGATGAGCAATCTCCTTGTGTGTAATTATTTGCCTTTGAAAACCCGAGGGAGGCTCAGCTATGGGTCAGTCCTGACATGACGGTACACTTCAACCACTCAAGGTCATATTTTGGTTCTTACCAACTATTTTAAACTTCGACTTCAACTTAAGCTTGCACATAAGTAATTGAGGATCTGTTCCACAGCCCATAACCTTGTTCTGATTGCTGATACCAAGCTTCTTCATTGATTCCTTCCACAGATGTTGTAAATTTCACCTGTGTAGTTCACCAGGTGAGGCTCATGTATGCAGTTGCCATTTATTTTTTTTTTTTTAAAGGCATTTGCAATGAATAAATTGCACTGGAAGAAACTGATCATCTTTCTCCTGCAGAGCAGCTGGTGGATTCAAACTGAGTGTCTTTCTTTGGGTTGGCAGTGCAACTTTTACCACTAGATCACCAGAGCTACATACATACATCTCTCTCACACACACACACACACACACACACACACACACACATAGTGATGAAGGAGAAAATGCAGACTGCTCTGAAGGACTTGGCAAAAATAAAGCCCTAGGAATTGATGGAATACCAATAGATGTATTTCAGCAAACAGATGTTGCCCTGCATGTGCTCATTAAGTTGTGCCAAAAAATCTAGAGGACAAATAGTGGGCCAACTGACTGGAAGACATTCATATTTATTCCCGTTCCAAAAAAAGGTGATGCGACAGAGTGGGGAAATTATCAAACAATATCATTAATATCACAAACTACCAAAATCCTTCTGAAGATTATCCAGAAACGACTGTAACAGTACATTGACAGAGAACTGCCAGAAATACAAGCTGGGTTTAGAAGAGGTCATAACACTAGAGACATTATCGCCAATGTCAGATGGATCTTGGCAGAAAGCAGAGTAACAGAACAGTGTTTATCTGTGTTTCATTGACTATGCAAAGGCATTTGACTGTGTGGATCACAATATATTGAGGCTAACCTTGAGGAAAATGGAAATCCCAGAACACTTGGACCAAGAAGCAGTCCTCAGAACAGAGCAAGGAAACAATGCATGGTTCAAAATCAGGAAAGGAGTGCGTCAGGGATGCATACTGCCCCATACCTTTTGAATCTGTATGCAGAACAGATCATTTGGGAAGCAGGGCTTTATGAGGAGGAGTATGGTATCACGATTGGAGGAAGACTCATTAACAACCTATGATATGCAGATGACACAACCTTGCTTGCTGAAGCTGAAGAAGACCTGAAGCACTTGCTGCAAAAGGTCAAGGATTGTAGTCTTCAATATGAATTGAAGTTCAACATCAAGAAGATAAAGATTCTCACCACCGGGCCAATTGGCAGCATGGAAAAGAGACTAAGGTTGTTAGCAATAACAGCTTGCTCGGATCAACAATCAAAACTCTTAACACCAGCAATAAGAAAATCAAAAGACGAATTGCATTGGGAAAACCTGCTGTCATGGACCTCTCCAGAGTGCTGAAGAGCAACGATGTCAGTCTATATACAAAAGTGCACCTAATCCAGGCCATGGTCTTCTCAATTACTTGTTATGCTTTAGAGAGCTGGATAATGACTAAGAATGACAGAAGAAGAATAGATGCCTTCAAGTTGTGGTGCTGGAGAAGAGTCGAACATTGCAATGGACTGCCAAGAAAGTAAGTTGGTCTGTCTTAGAGAGGGTGAAACCAAGTCTCTCCTGAAAGGCTAGGATTTTGAAGCTCTGCCTCACTTACTTTGGACATAAGGCAGGGAAAGATCAGTCCTTGGAGAAGGACATCACACTTAAAGGAGTGGAGGGACAGTGTAGGAGAGGAAGACCGCAGATGAGATGGATTGATATAGTAACTGGGACAATGGCGGGATAGTGTGTCAGAATTAGTGAGACTGGCTCAGGACAGGAAAGGGTTCAGAATTGCTGTATATAGGGTCTTTATACATCACAGGAGACTCAATGGCTCATAACAACAATAACATACTATGACAGGTTTGGAAGCAGGAGTGGCATCCACTTCCTAAATAACATGCCTCTGGAAACTCTATGAACTTTTATAGATATTGATAGTTGTAGAGGGGCTTCAGGCCTTTTGTTCATAGGGTTGCTATGAGTTGTTCCATTTCTTTTAAAAAAATGGGTATGTAGAAAAAATTTTCTAATGCAAAGAAGATTAAGTAAGATGCATTTCTTTTATCAAATATTTAGAGTTCTGATAGTGCTGTTGTTTAGTGTTGTGGAGTTGGAACCAACTAATACCCATCTCTCCAGCGGGTTTTCAGAGGGAGGAAAACATCCAACCTTCTCCCACAGAACAGCTCTTGGATTTTAACTGCTTGCCTTTCAGTTATCAGTGTAATTTCTTACCACCAGAGGTCCCTGCAATGGCCTTTCGTCCCCCTCCAAGCCTGGAATTGAAATCACTCTTCTAACTGAAAATACCAGTCAAACAATAGGCCTGTGTGACGAGTAACACAGAGAGGAGCACACACAACAACAATCAACACAACAACAATCAACCACACAAGGTGATTAAGAGCAGCATTTGTTCAGAGATAAAGCTAAATGGAAACAGGAAACACAGCCAAGCAGGAAGAGTGCTGTTACAGTGCATGATTTGTTGAATAAAAACTCAATATATTCTGTAAACTTTACTTAGATCACAATAAACAGGTTTCTTTTTCACATTTAGGGTTATAATAATATGCATGCACGCATAGCACGCTTCATTTTCATTATTTCTCTTTTTTTAATACAAGGTAGAAGTAATTGGCAAAGGATTATGGAGATAGGTGACTTCTACGCTTTTTCTTACTACATCTTTGTAAGTATGAAAGCAATAGAAATGAGCTATAGGATTAAAGAAAAGTCAACTTGAAGAGATCTAACAAGCCAGTTAAGAGACCACTTTAAATATTTTATCTAGGTCAGCCATCATAAACAAATCAGCTACCATAAAATTTGCTAAGGATGTCTAAAATAAAATATAAAGATATGTACACAAAAAGAAGTCAACAGGTAAACACTGCCTTCATGCCAAACTTCTAAATGTTTTTTTCCAAAAATATCTAGTGCCACCTACTGGATTTATGAGAGAAAAAAAAATTGTTCCCTACTACAGTGGTATTTTTTCTGAAGTTCAGTTTACTTACTGCCTATGAGAAACTGCTAGAGAAAAACTGCTATGGGTTAGTTTTGACTCAACAATTTGTTTTTTACCAGTTAATGATATGTTGTTGTTGTTGTTATGTGCCGTCGAGTCGCCTGTGACTCATAGCGACCCGTACAACAGCCATAAACTCCGCTCTGTCCTGTGCCAATCGCACTGTCTCTGACACTCCCATCCCAATTATCCCAAGTCACTGAATAAATACATCTCATAGAGGGCCTTCCTTTCCTGCGCCGTCCCTCCACCCTCCCAAGCATGATGTCCCTCTCTAAGGACCGGTCTCTCCTCACAACATGCCCAAAATAAGTTAGACGGAGCCTCAGAATCCTTGCCTCCAAGGAGCCACCCGGTTTAACCCTCTCCAGGACAAATCTGTAGATGTGGAAATATTTAAGGCAAAGTATAGAGTTCGCGTGGTCACCTGATAAAGAGCTGCACTGCCCAGACACAGGCCATCTCTTCTCGTATGATTTACTGTCTTTAAAAACCTGCTGAAGAGTCAGTTATGGGTTAGTTCTAACTCAGCAGCACATAACAACTACAACATAGGCAACTCTGGTGGCTGAGTGGGTAAGTGTAATAGGAATCAATACAACATGAGAGTGACCAAGTTTGACTTCTACCAGCTTCATAAAGGGAACTGTCACTATCAAGAGTATCCATAGCACCATATAAATAGCTCCACAGACATGTAACCCCACATGCTCCACCACCTATTTTTACCAATCTTTGGGTTCAAGTTCATTGCAAGATTCAGAGGCTTTCCTCACAGTTGTGGGATTTATTAGAGAAATATGTTGGAGTGGGGAGAGCAAATATCACATAACATGAATCCAGGTTTACTCCAGCAATCCCAAACCAGATTAAGAAGGCACAATTCCTCAACTGGTGACAGTTCAGATTAAGTACAGCAACATAGATACAAGAAGTCTTTGGTTTCCTCAAGCATTCAGCAAACTTTACCTCTGAGCAGTTATAAGTCAGCTTTTCCTTCTATCATCTGGCAAGCAAAACCTTTAACGAGCATAATAAATGCAGGGTTCCTCTGGGTACACTTTGCCACTGTGTCTGCATGGCAGTGCTATAGACTCCACCCTTTCTCTACCACAGTTACCAAGGTACCTCACAGTCAAGGAAAGCTCACTCCCTTATATTGGTACCACAGCTGTTGATGATTTGCAAGATACTGTGTCCACAGTTAAGGTAGCTAGAGACCATGCTCGTAAGGGGGCAAACACAATGGCTAGAAAAGTTGTACCTAGAATCAAAACAAGTTAGACTTGAGTTAGGAGGACCTAACAACAACAGCACACAGCAACAATATACTTTGAAATTCTACCCCATTCAAAGTGAAGAAGATCCTCAACTAGGTGGATTGACACGGTGACTGTCACAATGGGCTCTTGTGTGTCAGGAAGGGCAAGGAGGCACAGGATAGAACAGGGTTCAGATCTGTTGTTCACAGGGTCACTATGAGTCGTACTTGACTCAATGGCACCTAACAACAACAAAATAGATAAACAAATGGCTAAAGAAATGGTTAAATAGTATATATGATAAATACAATAAAAATATTAACAGTAAAAAAACTAGGTTGGGGTTTTGAGTGGTTAAATTCATTAATATTTTTTATGTTTAAAACTTTACACAGGGAGCTCTGGTGGCCTAGTGGTAAGAAGCTGCACTACAATCCCAGAGGCATGCGGTTCGAATCCACCAGTTGCTGTGCTGGAGAAGGAGGGGTAATCTCCTCCTTTTCCAGTCAGATCTGATTTGACAGTACACACACATAAAATAATAATAATTTTTTTTTTTAAAAACAACTTTACACAATAGATTGTTAGGACAAAAATCACTTCCCATCCCACAAACAGTGGATATTCCACTTGTGCCACACCTTCCAAGAGCCTTTTATGTCAACAGGATCCCTGCCACCTAGCAAACTGCTTTCATGAAGATTGTTGTTATGTGCTGTTGTGTTGACTACGACTCAGTGATGCTGTGAACAACAGTTCTGAACCTTGACCTATTTTGAGCCAACCTCACTGTTTCTGATACCCTCAACCCTACTGTCACAGTCATTGTGTCAATCCACCTCATCCAAGTTATTTTCCTGCACTAACCCTCTACCTTTCCAAGCATAATTTCCTCCTCCAAAGATTGATCCTTTCAGGTAGCATGTCCCAAGTATGTGAAATGGTGCTTCAAAATCCTTGCCTCCTTGGGTTTCAGCCCCTCTAGGACAGAGCTGTTTATTCTCTTGGCAGTCCATGGGATGTTCAATACTCTTCTCTGGCACCACAACTCAAAGGCATCAATTCTTTTTTGTCATCCTTAGTCACTGTTCAGCTCTTAGATGTATAGCAAGCAATTGTGCCCAGGCACACTTTAGTCTCTAAACTGACACCGTTGCTTGCTGGCGCTTTGGAGAGGTCCCTAACAGCAGATTTTCCCAAAGCAACTCATATTTTTATTTCCTGACTGCTGGAGCCAAGACTGTTTATTGTAGATCTGGAATTGTTAACAACATAAATGTTTTCTCCATCTATTACAATACTACCAATTGGCCTGATGTTGAGATCTCTCTTTCTTTGATATTGAGATTCAATCCATATTGGAGACTGCAGTCCTTTACCTTCTGCAGTAAATGCTTCCAATGCTCCTCAGTTTTGGCGAGCAAGGTTGTATCATTTTCATAGCACAGGATGTTGATGTGTTGTGTCTTCCTCCAATCTCCTGAATGATCCATTCCTCATAGAGATGGAAACGATGTGGAGATAGGATGCATTCCCGACACACTCCTTTCTTGATTTTGAACCATGTAGTGTTCTTGAAGATTAGGATATTGGAAACTCCATGCAGCAATTCAATACTGTCCTTTATGGTCACTATAAGTGGGATTATTAATTGGTGGTGGCACAAAGGGAAGAAGAACACTCCAGGCCACTGCACAAGTTTTACTCTTTATCCAGAATATTTCACCCCTGTTAGTCTGCCCTTTTTCCCTGGTTAACCCAAAGGGATAATAAAGTTGGCCAGGGAGAAGTTACTTCTTCCATACTCACGGCAAAGGATTCCCCATCACGGTGACCACAAAGGACAGTGCAGAATTGCCCCACAGGGTCAGAGTAATCTTAATGACAGCTGTAATCTAAAGGGAAGCAGACTGCCATATCATTCTTCTGTGGAGAAGTTAATGAGGTCCAGTCATCAGCTTTTCATTTGGCAGCTCAGTAATGAATTGCTCCGTCACCAGACCTTTTACTTCTTCCACTAGCTTTCTCTACCCCTCTACCCACCCTCAAAACCTAATGTCCTGATTTAAACAACAATTTACACTCACAGACTATTTTCTCCTATCATAGTACTTACTGTCTTAGACTTGCCTGTCCATTTGTATTTTTCCCTACTAAACAAGAAGCTCTTTAAGTAGAAAATTTATATTTTACGGTCTATAATTTTTCCAGCACCAAGACAGGGACTGGCACATAGGAGTACGTAACAAATAAATCTTCAATGAATCAATTTGTCTATAGGGTTTTTTATTCCTTAGGAAAACCAAGTCTGTATTTCACTTATTTGTGAAATGAAAAAACAAAATAAAAATGATGTAATCTCACTTACTAGAAAGCTTCTTTCTTCAATACTTGAATTCACTTGACACTTTATTTTTAAATAAATATGTCCTTCCAAGGGAGCTGTAAAGGGTACCTGAATGAAAGAGAGTACAATGATTTACAAAACAATTTCAGAGAATAACCTTCTGATAAACCAAGTGTAAAGTCATGAAGAAATCAAATGATACATGAATCTGGGGCAAAAGATCTTTCCAGAGCACTAAAGAACAAGGATGTCACTTAGACAAAGACTAAAGTACGTCTGACCTACGCCAGGGATTTTCAATTGCCTCTCTAGTGGCCTGTTGGTAAGAAGCTGGGCTCAAACTCAAAGGCAAGTGGTCCGAATCCAACAGCTGGTCCATGGGAGAAGGATGGGCAATCTCCTCCCCTGCGATTTACTGCCTCATAACACCTGCCAGAGGCACGAGTTGATTCAGCTTGACAGCAAATAACAACATATGCATGTGAACACTGGACTATGAATACGACTGAAAATTTGTGCCTTTGAAATGTGTTGGTGAAGGACTATCTAATGGCCCATGAATTTCCAAAAGAAAAAAACATATCTGTCTTGGAAGAAGTGTGCTAGTAACAGCGGCTGCAACAATGAGGCTTGGGCATGGCAACAACTGTGAGGATGGTACATGTTGTGCATGAGGTCACTACAAGCAAAACCAACTCCATGGTACTAATAAGAGAAACTGTGACTAGAGGACACAGGGGATCCTCCGCCTTTTCAAAGCTCCCTTCACAAAGATTTCCATTAGCACCTATTTTCTTCACTAACTAAAAAAAAAAACCAAACAAAAACCTTAAAAATTGAAAGAGGGTTTTCACTGTCATGAAAAAAATGGCTAAAGTGTAATTTCTTTGGCAGTGAGTGATAAAGGGGCAGGCTGACTGGCAAGATGGATGTCCTCAAGCTCCTTTCCTGGGAATTACACTCTGCATCTCGGTAGCAAACTTTGAACTATGTAGTGAACACTGTGTATTAATGTTACTTTCAGTTTTACACATCATTTGGTACGTGATGTTGAGAAGGAATGCTCAAGTATTTTTTTTCCCTATAAGTTAATGGTAATTTTTTTTGTTCACTTTACATCATGTTGAGTTTATGAATGTTTTACAAGAATGTACTTCTTTCAGATAGGAGTGGAACTTTATAGATGACTTAAAAGTGCAGCATTTTCTAAAGCTGCAATGTAGAACAGGTGACCCAAAACTTCCAGTGGCTCCTTAATAACGAAAGCTTTTGAAGGACTGCTCTAATCCATAATGAGTCAGTCCAGGAATCATTTTCATCCCTCGGGGCATGAGTGGGAAGAAGCTTGCAACAAGCAAAGGAACTCTGCAGAGATAAGAACTGGTCTAACCCTTTAATGGTGGTATCTTAATGGGTTGTGGAAATAGCTGGGCATCTATCTGCTAAAGCTTACCCAAAGGAATGTTGCTGTGCAGACACAAATGGGCATCTACTTGCTAACTAACCCCAAGGAATATTACTGAGTAGGTTATAAAGCTAAAGTTGAAGGCAGACTGGAAAGGAGAAGAGAAAAAATAAAACTTGAAAATTTCTAAATCTTGTTGAAAGGTGAGACCTGACCTCACTTTCAAGATATTTAAAACCAAAGCTGATCCAAGAGTAAGGGTAGAACTCAGACGCAGCTCAATTAACCTCTGCTTACATCAAAGGGATTAGGCTTAATTCAAGCTCTTTAAGAGATTAAAGTGCAATTTCTTCCCAACCTCAATCTCTACTATTCTTGTATATCTAGTGTTTGAACAAAAACAAAAGAATTATAAGAATGTACAAAAACCAGAAAATATAAACTTTAATTGCAGATCCTCAGATGATCTCAAGCTTGTCATAGGAAGACAATCACTTATAAATATGTTTAACAATTTGGAAGAAAATATGGCCATGAATGGGCAAAAATAAGGAGAATTTAAGCAAAGACATGGCATTTCTAAAAAAAAGAGAAAAAAATGTCTACATTTGTAAAAAAAGAAAAATTCAGTTGAGGCTTAACAGTAGACTGGGCATTATCTTAAAAAAAGAAAAATCATCTTGAAGGCTGGTGGGTAGAAATGATCCAAAATAAGAATGAAAAGACAAAATGAGTATAAAAGATTTTTAGGAAAAAAGCCAACAGTCTAACATATATTTAACTAGAGTCCTAGAAAAAAAACACCACAAATGAATATGCGGAGAGATGAGAACTTGACAAGACTAATCAAACATATCAACTATAGATGTAAAAAAGATCAGCAAATAAATAAAAAGAAGCCATAGTCTCATAAGAGCCAATCTGCCAAAAATTAAGAGTTGTTGTTTGCTGTGCAGATGGAACCAACCCATAGCTCACCCTCCAGTGGGTTCTCAGAAGAAGTTAATCATACCAGAGAAGAATGACCATTCCACAGCTTCTTACCACTAGAGCTCCCTCAAGTCAGAGTAGAAAAAAAAAAAACTTAGAGTAGAAAAGACAAAAAATGATGGCTGACTTCTCAGACAAAGTAGAAGCAAAAATTAAAAGAACTTAAAAAATGTTATCTTTTAAAAGGCAAAAGAAAAAAAAAACAACAAAAAAACACCCATCAATCTATCAGTCCATATGCACAGAAAATAACCTTAAGAAATGAAGGTAGTATAAAAATACTTCTGAAATATCTGTCAGAAAAGAACAAATACTGTATGTTGCCACTGTTGTAGAATGAGGCTGACATCAGGGTGGCAGTAAGACTGAGAAAAACTGGATAAATTATGTTTACTGCATTGAAGCTGATGAGGGAGAGAATAGTTTTAGTGTAATATATTTTAGGGCATTATGATTATCATAAGAGTCTGGAATGAGGGTTGCAGAGTGGAGTATACACAGGGTGGGGGTGGGAGTGTGCGAGGGGATTGTATACCAATGAAGGAGTTTTTCTTTTGCTTTTCAAGGAGAAGAGCGAACTGGAGGGGGGGTGTGGGCGGGGAGAAAAGTGCAACAATGAATGAATGGAAATCCAAAATCTTTGTAGATGTTCATTAAAATTAATTTAAAAAAAAAACTTCAATAAAATAAAGGGTACAGAATCCACACCAATAGAGCTATTTTATAATAAATACTAAAGGAAGTTCTTACAAAAGAGGAAATTATCCAAGACAAAAAAAGAGAAAGGAAAAACTTAAAAATGCCAGAAAGTGGAAATGTAAGAATTCTTTTACACATATTTCAAATTTTCTTTCAAAAATTGGTTAAATGTAATCGTTTGTTTCTGTTACTTTTTGTTTTTTCATTTGTTTGTTGATGAGCATTTCAGTTGTTTTCATTTTCTTGCAACTGTGAATGATAGGCGATGAACATAGGCGTACATTACCTCTGTTCATGTCGCAGCTCTGAATTCCTTGGGATATATTCCTAGCAATAGAATAGGTGGTTCATACGAGATTTCTATGTTCAATTTTTTGAGGAAACACTGTACTGCCTTCTTTAGTGGTTGTACCATTTCATAACCCACCAGCAGTGCATGAGGTGTGGAAGAAGGGAAAGAAAAATCACTAGGACAGCCAGTATTAGTGGGTGATGGGGAGGTGGGAAGTAGACAAGGTATAATGGGGTCTTGATGAGACAGGGTAATAGAAGTCACAGATCAATAATAATTATAGAGAATACTATTCATAGAAATGATTGTATAAAACAAAACGTGAATGAAAAAATGCAGATGAATATTGTATAAAAGTGAGTGATTGTATACAACATAATAAAAAATTTAAAATCATTTTAAAAATTTTAAAAATGGTTAAAGAACATAACAACTCAAGTACAGAGTGGAACTTATAACAAAAGTAAACAAAATGGAATGGAATGAATCAGAAAAATGCAAATCAAAATTACAGTAAGGTCACTATTGTTGTGTACCAGAATCAACTCATAGTTGACCTTCCCGTGTGTTTTCAGAGGCTGAAAACCGCACGTAGGAGACTGCTCATACTTCTCCCTCAGACTAGCTGGTGCATTCAAACTGCCTGCTTTTGAGATATAAGTACAACTCTTTATCCACTAGGGCTATCAAAGCTTATGTATGAATATTATTCAATCAAAAAGAAAAATAAAAACTGTGCCATGAACAAAACTTTAAAAACATTCTGTTAAGCCAAAGAAGTTATAAACGAAAGGATAAATATAGTACGAAAACATTTCTATGATTACCAGTTCAATCTGTATGCTGAGCAAAGCATTTGAGAAGCTAGACAATATATGAAGGGCAATGTGGCATCAAGATTGGAGAAAATTCATCAACTACGTATTTTATGCAGATGACACAAGCTGAAAGACAAGAGAACTTGAAGCACGGATTTCAGATCAAAGTCTACAGCCTTTCATATGGATTACATCTCATTATCAAGAAAATAAAATTCTCACCACTGGATCAAAAGATTGAAAGTGTCAGCTATTTCATTTTACTTGGATTCACAATCAACATTCACAGCAACCACAGTCAAGAAATCAAAAGATATACTATATTAAGGTAACATGCTGTCCAAGACCTCTCTAGAGTTCTAAAGAACAAGGATATCAGTTTACAAACTAAGGTGCACCTGATCCAGGCCATGGCCATTTCTTACTCCCTATGCATGTGAAAAGTTGGACAATGAATAAGGATGACAGAAGAGGAATCAATGCCTCTAAGTTGTGAGGTATTAAAGAAGAGTATTAAGTATCTCACAAACTGAAAAAAAAAAAAAGCAAAACAAGTCAACCTGGGAGGAAGTGCAACCAGGGTACTCCTTACAGGAAAGGATGGTGCAACTTCATTTCATATAATTTGGGCACGTGGTCAAGAGGGGTCAGTCCTCGGAAAAGAACATCCTGCTGGGAAAGGTGGAGGGACAGAGACGAGAAGAAGAGTCTCGAGGAGATGGACAGACACTGTAACAGTGGGCTAGAGCATATCAGAGATGGTGAGGCTGCACAGAGTGAGTAGGGTAAGGTTCAGGTCCTTTGTTCAAAGGGTCATTCACCGTCGTAGCTGACTCCATGGCACCTACGAACACAGCAACTGAGTGGAATTACTGATTAATTAATACTACAGTTCTGAGTCGGG